AAAAACGAAATTAAAATTTAATGCTGTTCACCCTTTTTGTTTGTTATCATCTTATATTTAAAAATAAAAATTAACAAACTCTGCGAAATAAAAAAAATATATAGATGTATATGTCATTGTTATAAGATTAAATTCACTAAAGATATTCCTATGGAATACTTGCTAGAAAAGACAGTTAGTGTCGGTTCGCTGGGATTAAATTATTATGATAATTATTGGTATCAATTCTAATATTTTCTATGTTTAGCTTTCTTAACTTTTGAAAATCATTACAACGGATGGTTCAGAAATGAATAATGGCACACTTTGTATTTTGTGAATATCTTACTCAACTTTGTTGGTAGAGAGTTGAGGTTAGACTTCAAACATATCTCGTTGAATTGTTTAGAAGATCTGTATCAGACATTTTCCTGTAGAAAGAGAGATGTGACAACAAGAATATTCAAGACGTTCAAAAGGATCAACTTGCTAAGCCATTTATTAAATAATATTTGGAATCTTTCTTAGAATTTCGAGAACAAAAAAAATCATTAGTGAAGATGTTTTTGAGTACTTTGAAGTGTGTTCTTTCTCACTATGTAGCTCAACGTTCGTTGCAATCGAATTGAAGATCGATAGCTCTGACTTTTCAAAATCCTCTTCACCATGGCATAATTTTGAAATTTTTTGCTTGCTGAATTGAAGAAGAGAAATGCAGCTCAACTTTCACCGCTGAATCTGGTACAGTAATTATTTTCCATCAAAAACATGGAGACAATCTGAACCCAGAAGATGCTATTATAGCTCAGTAATGCTTCTTTTCCCAGAAGCTCCGAAATCGTAGATTGAAATAACTAATTTCTCGAACATCTAACAAAGAAGATTATTAAAAAACACTGCAAGAATGAGCATGAAATTATTCAAATGAAGATCTATCGATAGAGCTTTTTAAGGACTACAAAATGCTTATATTATTTTATTTTTGTCATCACTAGCCAACGAAAAAATCTACAAAAAACGACTTTTCAGCTTAGAAAGTTGCTTCTTTTACATATGTTGAGTATTCTTGTTTTCATATTTCTATTTCTCTTTTTACAAAAGAAATGTATGATACAGGTTTTGTAAAGAATTTAACGAGGTTTGTTTGAAGTCTAACCTGAATTCTTTACGATCAAAGTTCAGCGAGATATTCACGAAATATAAATGTGTGTCATTATTTCTGAGTCACATGTTAGCTTTATTCTTGCTCTACAAAACTGTAGATTTCAGTCAACTATTTAAATATGTATTTTGCATATAGAAAACCAATTTATAGAAAGATTTTAAAGCTTTTGCATTAGTCGTTAGTACGATGCTCTTAATCATTCGGTGGTTTCAGTTGAAATGTGAGTATTAATAAGAATTCTTCGTAAATAAAACTAATCTATTGCATCCATTGAAATGGGTTTGATTGTCATGTATCAAAAGATTTGCACACAATGGAAGGAGAGTGTATTGTAACTCGAGAACGTTAAATATATTACGATTAAATTACAGGTGTCACCAACAAAACATGAACTGCTTATGACGTATTTCTTTATGTCATGGCTAGATAGTGTTCGGCAAATTAGATAGAAAAATATGTTTCACATGTCGAAAAAGAAATCATGCACCAGTTAAAGTTTCGTATCTATTTCTTCTTGGTTTTGAAAGAATGGTATCGTGACCTTTTCGCTTGAAATTTTGTTTTCTATGGATTGAAAAGAGACTTTTCCCATGTAATTTGATAGACTCTATCCAATCATGATAAAATAAACATGTGATAAGCAATTCATATTTTTTCATGAAGATCTCAAATTTCTTCTGAAGATGTTCAATATTGCTGAGTTATGATAAGCATCCTTCCATTGTTGATCATGACGCCAAACTTTTATTATATCATTAATCAAATAAAAATCAAGTGGATATAATAAAAATCAAATAATAATTTTCCTATTTGAATTCTTTTGTCTAAAGAACAAATATGTCTATCGAACAAAAACGAAAATAGAAATTGTTAGCTAATCAGGAGTATATGCCGGCCTTCGATTACAAATTTTCGAAATTATAGGAATTCCTGTATAGGATTTTGTTTTCTGAATTATTCGATTATTTTCACTAAAAAAAGTAGAAAATTGACCAAAATTTAGGTATTGTACGTCGAACCGCACCTCAAATGTATGTGCTTTACTTGCAAGAAATAGCTATTCACATTACCTGGTCTTTTCATAAAAAGTGATCACCGGGGGAGGGGAGAGCGGTAGCATTGCGAAGATCCTCGTACTCCCCTCAGGGCAAAGCCAAATCTCGTAAAATTTTTCCACTTTTTTTGATAAAATATAGGAAAAATAGAAAAATCAATATAAATATAGGATTTTTCAAAAAAAATAGAAATTATAGGACGAATTGGAGCCCAGGGTATATGAAATAGGTTTTCTTTTATGAAAGAAAAAGATGAATTATTTAGATGTTGAAATAGTAACAATTTGGTGCCGATGAAAACATTATCATTGTATTTAAATTATTAAAAAAAAAAACTAGGCAATATTTTTTACATTCTTAACTACTGTTGACCTGATGTGGCAACACTTATATTGTTAACGGTAACAGGTCACAATGCTTAGAATATTGTCATGTTCTTCTTTTTTTTCAAATATTCATTTCAAATAAGCATTGCACTTGATTAATATCGTTAAAAAAAATTCCAATGTTTTAATTTCAAATTAAATTGAAAATGATAAATGAAACTAAATACAAAGAACATATTGTTTGATTTTTATTATCTCTGAACTTCTGCCTTGTATAAAAACAATATAAACTATAAAAATTTCAAAATTATGCTTGTAAAATAATTATGATAAGCGCTTAGACATTTCTTGCATATTCAAAACATTTTTCTAATATTCACATACAGAAATCAATTCTAATGCATACTTGAAGCTAGAGTAGTCTCCACAGTCATTCAACAGAGATTATTTAATTTAGATTAATTAATACGTTAAAGTGAACGATTCTCTACAATATGAGATGTTCCTGAAATCTCTAAACATCTTTTTTTTCCTGAGATATAATAATCATATGGATGGCTCTAATGTCGCTTTTATGGTTATTGTCTAAAAAAAATATTTTGGGACCTTCGCTTATATTGCTATATTTCAAGCTGAGAACGTCATGAAGAATTCGAGAATATTTCATTTTGTAGAGAACTATTTGCTTTATTGCATCATGTAATCTGAATAAAGAGATATTTTCGCGTTCTAGGTGAGAAAAACCTAGATTTTGTACTTTTTAGAGACATTAACTTTTGAAATTCACTAATAATTTTGTTTTTTTAGATCTTCTTTTGGTAAATAGTTTTATTTAATTGAAGCACTATTCGAATTCTTTTTAGTGTGTGAGTTATGAGAAAAGTTGGAAAATAAACTCTGTTAAATAATTTTAGTAGTCACTGTAAATATGACAATTCTATATATCGATACATTCTTTTTATATCTAATTCAATGTACAGCATATGTTAAAGAAGCACTAAAATACTTTTTCAGTTTCATAGAATCGGTTTAGTAAGAATAGTTTCGCATGAAATTCATAAGGAAGTCTCATGAAGATATTATTCAATAATCAATAAATAAATAATAGTATTAAGAAATAAAACCAGAAGATATATTTCAATAGGGATAATATGTTAAAAATAAATTTATTTATATTCATGATCAAAATATAAATGTTCTGTTGAAAACCTATTTCAAAATAGTAACATTAATACCAAATTCCAATTAAAATTAGAATTTTAATAAAGTTTAGGTTTTCGACAAACTATGAATCATGTATATCTTAGTAAATAAACACTAATGTATTAAAAAAACGTAGACGTACTGAAGCATTCAAGTCATAGCTATTTGTAGTAAAAAGCAATTACATAAAGATTAAAATGCAAGGTTTGTCAAGATATCTATTAAATTCTTTTGTATATCATGTTAACCTGCCTATGGAGCGCAGCAGTTCTTAATTAAGTTGCTAAAATAAGAAAATAAGTTGCAAAAGAAAAGAAGAAACGTCTCTTTTCTCAGTCTCGGGTATTTATCTAATGTTGGTAATAAAAAAAAAGGCCAAAAAATCTTTTGTGCTATTTCAACAAAAACTTGAAAAATGATGCTACACATAATTAATCGACGATATGTATTAGCTGATTCTCTCATCAATTGATGTCATTAGTTTTTGAGAGTATTTTCTTTGAATGGTGAACACTGTCCTTGATTATAATTTGCTTATGAATGACGTCATATGTTCGAAAAGTATAATATACTTTGTTTTCTGTCAAAAGCAATTTTTAAGTATCAAACAATAAGTAACAAAGAAGGAAAGAAATCTAACTGATGATATTTATTAAATCACAAAAAATAGGAATGAATAAAGTGCTCCTTTTTTCATTCAAATTATTTTTGCTTGCTGATCATTAAGAAGGTTCTCGATATTTTTCTTTCATGCACTCATCAACACTTTTCAAAAACGGAAGAGTAAGATGTTACATTCAATATATATATATTCTTTTTTACATAATTACTTGAAAACGCGCATATAAAAAACTGTTAAAAGTATTCAAAAAGTAATTTCTTTTTTTTTCATAAAATACAACATCAACTAACATCATTATAGCATGCACTTTTGAAAATGAGTGTTAAGAAAAAGGAACAAAGAAAAAAAAAAGTTGTGATCGTCTTTTCAGAAAATAAGCGACAAATCATTTAACATTTTTAATATAAAGAAAAAAGTTGTTTTCTACTGATATTTAAATATTCATAGAATAAAAACAAGTTATTCTCAATACGATGAATCGAACTTGGTTATACCATGTTCTGATCTCGGTATGATTTATTTAATGAATTATTATTAATAATAATGTTTCGTTTTTTTTCTTTAAAGTTATTTCTTATCAATTATATAACAGCAGTCTTAATTGAAACACAAAGTAGTCTTATATACAAATAAAAGAAAGTTAATAAATAATGGATCTATTTTTTTTAATCTTAGGTCTGTTAGGTTGTGGAGCAATTACTCGTCCATCTCGAATCTATCCATATAGTCCAGCTAATTATGATTTTAATTTGAATACACCTGGAACATGTATGCTAGCATGTTCAGCAGCTGGTTATGCATATGCAAGTATATCTGCTGGTCGTTTATGTTTTTGTGGTTCATTATCAGCTAATATTTCATTGTTAAATTCAACAACAACATCATGTCAAATTGATGCATGTACAGGTGATACAAATGTTTATTGTGGTGATAGTGATTATGAACTTGTTTATGCATCAATTGGTGTTATTGATGTAAGTTTTTTATTTTATTTAATGTTTTGCATTTGATCTATTTAAAATAAAATCTTAGTCAGCAAATATTAATTTAATCGGTAGCACAGCACCGATGGCATTACAAATTAATCAAAATTATCAATTTGATGTTGGTTATCAAGGTGCAGTTAGTTATATTAATTATCTTATTGATTTTGGTGATGGTACACAAACGGGATGGTTCAGTGGAACATTAAATACGACAACAGTAGTTTCGCATATTTTTTCAAAAACTGGAAAATTCTCAGTATCAATGGCAGCTCGATCATTGGTTGGAATGCAGGTAAAATTAGAATTTTGAAATGAGTTTTTATTTTTTATTTTTTTGTTAAATTAATAGAAAATTATTTTTTTGATTTTATCGATTCTTATATGTAGTTGACTATGTGTGAATTGACTTAGCACTTTCATAGAAAAACTATAATGATAGGCAAAGGAAATTAGCACGAAGTAAAATATTTTCTTTTTTTCCTTACATTGTTAAATTGCTCAAAACGGTCTGATAAACTCAAGTCATACCATTCGTCTCAAACTTCCACAATAATTTTAAAAATCATTTAGACAACATGCGAATAACGTTTTTGATTATAACGCTATAAACCCAGTAAAATAACCATAATTTAGAATAAAACATGCTTTATCATTTAAAACTTTTCTAGTTGAATTTAAAACATGAGTTGACACAGCAATACGTTCTCTCTTCGATTTGACTTCGATTATTTATCGTCGTTATTACTTGTTTTTCTTGAAAAACTCCTTTTAGTCTTAATATTTATAAAAAAATATTAGTTCTTTCAGCTCATACTTAATTATAGATTATTAGCTAAATAGTTATTTTATCTAAAACGTAATTAGTAAATTAGTCTCTAAGCTAATGCAGAGAAAGTCTAACAATGTGAGGATAGATTCCTGACTACAAACTATATCAACGGTGAAATGCTCAGCAAAAAATGTTCATAAAAATCGGTTTTTTCAAAGATCTGCTCATATCCAGAACAAGACTATTTATTTATTTAGTTTCTATCATCTGAAGATAACCAAGAAGGATTTGTACCACTTACAACTGGTGTTTAGACTTTGCATTCAGTTATAAGAAGATTTTTCTTTTCGATATTCTTACTTGTGAAGAAACGTTTTTAGCTAATCGATCGCTTTTTCTTATCGAAAGCTAGTGGTGTACAGGTTATCGACCATGCTGATTCTAAGTATGATCCTGAGAAATCTGTTTAGGACTTTGTAAGCTGGCTTTCTAAACTAACAAATTTTTCGTCAAGAGTTTTTCTTTTGATCTACTCTCACTATACAGCATATCGAGTTGCCTAGAAAACAGTAACTTTTTCCGCAGAACGTACAGTTATTGCAGTTTATACAACCTATATATATCAACATCACAATGTGAACATCTTCAAAATGATACTGAGTAGGTAAAAACCGATTTTTACCAAAATTTCTGTTAGATCAAAAAATCAGCATACAAAAAGATCTAAGAAAATGTTGGAAACGTTCCCTCGTCAGTCATGTTACTATCGAAATTGAAATGTCATTAACAACGAATCAAGTCAATTTTTTTTTTAAATCTAAGCATTTTCGAAAGAATTTTGCATGAAGGTTTCTCAGTCAGAAAGATTTTCTACAAAACATACTATTTAGTTTTTAAGAATACGTTTCGAATTTACAGCATTTGCAAATGAAATCGTATACATTAAAAATCTATGCTCTTTTTTTGTGTTATGTTGCTGACGTTAGTTTTTCAATAATAACTTGGCGGAACAAATATCTATAGTGCTGAGTTTTTCAGGATATCTATAGCAACTTAACACACATTTTATACAGAAAAATTGTCTAAAACAAAATTTAGTCCAAAGATAGACATATTGTTTTTTTTTTAAGCCAATAATGTCTGCAATGACAGTTAAAGTTTCTGATCAAATCTCATCACTTGATGTATCAATAACATGTCCATATGTAACAACAACACTGCAGACTGTTTCGTGTACTTTTATATCCGTACGTGGTACTGATTTAACGGCTGAACTCAATTACAATTCATCAATGCCATCTTATTCAATTTTTAATATTCCAAGTATAAAATTCTTCAAGATTACTAGAGGAACGTTTTTTATTATCGATTTCTTGTAGATGCACAATATTACACATTCGGTTCATCATATGTTACATATAATCCGACAATAGATTCGTCAGGAAATTTACTTACTGTAAATGATGTTGTTATTTTACCTCAAAGTATTATTACTATTGCTGGTCGATTATCATCAATACAATTTTACAGTTCAGGTGCTGGTACAATCAATATTTATGTAAATAAAATAAATAATTTCCAATTCAAAAAGATTTTATAAGTATCGGTTTTCTTTTTTTAGTTACTTCGTCGTAGTTGTACATCACCATTGACTTATTGTTATGATACAAATACATGTAGTAATTGTACGAATACTTGTGGTAATTGTTCAAATCCATATTCATTACAATGTTCAACAAATATTTATTCAACAATAACTTATTTATGTGTTAATGCATCATTAAATCAACGCTTTCAACAAACAACATATTCAAATGCACAATTTGAAATTATTGCTCAATGGACAATAACAACAACTGGTACAAATTATCAACAAATTATTGCAAATACATCATTAAATATGATGAATCAAACAGCCCTTGTTGGTGATATTTTAGCATTTCAAGGTTTAGATATTGCAAAAAGTCTTTCGATTGATGGAACTGAAGATTATCGATGTATAAATCCAACAATAACAAATAATACATTTACATGTGCCGTTGGAAGTTTATCATCAAATGGTACACAATATCGATATTTACTTCAAACAACAATTATACAAGCAATACGAATTGCACCAAATACTATTTACGATAATGTTGGATATTTCTCTGTTGAAGGTCGATTAACACAAAATAATCTAACAACATATTCAGCATCAACTACATTACCTGTTGTTTATGGTATTGCATGGGTTGAAATTATTGGACCGTCAGTTGCAAGTGTTAATGTTATTTTAACATTTATAGTAAATATATATCCTGTTAGTAAGTATTTTCAAAATAATAATATTGATTTTTATATGATTTAATTTTTTTTTTGTTTTTATTATTTAGATGCAACAGCAACGAAATATATGTGGTTTATTAATGGAAATAATACATTAAATTCAACAACAAATACAATGAATATATCATTTTCATCAAGTGCTACATATACTATTGGTTGTCGAGCAAAAAATCTTCTATCAAGTAAATATAATTCAACATCAATTACTATAGTAGATTTTATAACAAATTTTACATTACATGCTGGTAATATAACAAATGTTTCAACTTCTCAACCATTTGAAGTAGCAAAATTTCAAATAAGAATGACTACAGGTAGTAATTATGCATGTCGTATTAATTATGATACATCACAATTAGTAAGCAGACTTTATTATTATACATATGGTTATATTCCTGGAAGTTATGTTACTCATCAATATTTACTACCAGGAGAATATAATGTAGGTCAAGTTTATAATATATCATCGTGACAAATATTCTTCGAGTAGTATTAGATACATTGAAATAAATTTTTCAAAAGTACAAACAATATTTTCATAGAGGAATACCCTTGTCTCTCAGCTATCTTGCGATTTGACGTACTGTCTAGCGGTAGGTTTAAGAGTCCAGTGTCTTCACTACAGCTATGATTTAGTTGTAGTTCTGAAAAGAAAACTTGTCTAGCACAGAATTTCTGCGTTCAATCACTTGAGCTCTTCATACATACTAACTAACTACAAGAGTAAGTGTATGTCCCAATGTAATGAGAATGGTATGGGGCAAATGATACGAGACAAATAGCCTTTAGTAACTTGTCCTGGGCCATTTCATAGCTGGTGGTTCTCAGGTTAGCACATGATACTTTGTCGATACGTGCTGAAAAACATAGCCACTTAGCCATAACAACTAAGGTTCATTCAGAACGAAATAGAATCGTTTTTATTGTTGTTTTTGTTTCTACTCATGTTCACTTTCGAGAAACTTTCAATATTATATTGTAATATATAATGAAATCTATTACTGAATATCTTTCTATTTTAAACCTGAACATTATTTTTACAGTCTCGCTTGCTATTTTAAACTGTTTTAAATGAACACATGTGTAATTCTTTTTCTTTGCCTCTTTCTCTTCATTATATTTGACTTATGTATTCAAAACTGTACATATCGGAGAAAACAAAGGCATACCAATATCACGCTATCTTAAAAGAAAAAATTAATGATAATAATGATACTTATGGCAAATTACACTTTAAATTAGCTGAAAAATCGAATATAGCACTTGATTCTGTATTCAATAGTTTAAGACAAAAAAAAAAGAATATGACTAATATGATTTGAACAATAAAATAATAATATCATACAATTCAAATAGATAATTTATCTAAATTATACTTTAGGTTTTCGCTCATTGTCAAAATGCAATGAGTAATGCATCATATTCATTCATTCATTATGTACAATATCCAATTGTCGGTCTTCAATTACAACAAAATGGCGTAGCAAAAAATACAAATTATCGTTTGAATTTTACCATAGCTCAAGGAACAGCACCACAATTTCAAATCATTGTAAATGGTGCACAAGTTAATTATACATATAATGAACAATATAATCTTGTTCAAACAGATTATTTTCCTGGTCAATTATCATCAATGAATTATACTGTTGAAATTTATGCATGGAACTATTTATCATCAAGTTATCTATCTAATATATTTTCAATTGTTTCACCTATAGTTAATCCTCAAATACGATCATCAGTTATGAATACATCATTTCCAGGTCCTATTTTATTTGAATATACAATGGAATCAGGTTCAGATATAGATATATTATTTTCATTTGGTGATATACTTACTAATAATTCAGTTATATGTCAATATTATGGTGATTATCCAACAAATATATGGAATTATTGTCAAAATACAAATCATACATTTCAAATTCCTGGTACATTAACAATTATTGTTGCTTTTACAAATGCTATAAGTACAGTGTATAAATATTTAACAGTAACATTAACAACATCAGTGAATCCAATTGAAGTTGTAACAAATTTACAAATACCATCAAGTCAATGTGTAGCTGCTTTTATTGATAATCGTGCTATTGCATCATTTGTTCTTCAATCAACAAATGGAATATCTAAACCAGCTTCAAATGCACAGCTTATTATTATACCTGATTCAATTAATCAACCAACAGTTACTCAAGGACCATTTCAATTAACATTTAATTATTTTGCATCACCAGCAATAACTTCAAATGGACTCAATGTTATTTATACATCACTTGGTAAGTCAAATGAATAACATATATACAGCCATAAACTCGTATTTTATTTTATTTTTTTTTATAGGAAATTATACAGCTGTTTTTCAAGTTAGTAATAGTATTGATTCAACAAATGTTAGTTGTATTGTACAAGTTGTACCAATTCTTCAACAAGTTTATTATTCGATTAATCCATTAAATTGGCCATTGAACGATACAATACCATTTCAAGCTTCAGTTTATATTGGTGATCCAAATCCAGGCACGGTTGTGATAACATGGAATTTTGGTGATGGTACAATTATTTCTAGAACAAGAACAGGTACAGAATTTACACACATTGGCATCGTAGTATTTCTTTCTGTTTTTTATTTATTGATGGCTCTGTTTCGTCATTTATAAACTAAGTAGTGAATTATAGTTCTCTGAGATTTTCATGTTCCATATCTATATTCCTATATTGACTTGTCTATTGATAGAATAAAATAAAAATAACTTAACGAAGAGAAAAAACAAAGATTGAAGTTCTTGCCACTTCGGCATAAGTTAGATTACACAAGATATGTTCTGATATGAGAAAGAATAGTTTTGGTTATTAATAACGATGTGCAGGATCAAAAAAATAAAAATCTGATAAGGCCAGACTTATGAAACAGAAAGTTGTTCGAATCAGAGCTTAAAATTGTAGTTAAATTTTTGTAAGATTCGGTCGAAAGCAAGTGTTGAAGCATAGAGGTAGAACATTAAGCATCCCACAACATCACAAAGAGACCAGCACCAACCGTGGCCGAGATAAACGCGAGACGAAATTCTACTACGGGATTAGTATGATAATTATTCTTTATTTTTCTTTGTCACTCACTACAATATATTGCGTTTAATATCTTTCATCATCGGCATGAATTAACAATAAGTATGAATTAATAAACCCTACCATATGTTGATTAATTCCATCGTCTACAATATCAGTAGCTCCATCGTGTTTCATATTTTCATCATGTAGAGATTGTGCTAATAGCTTTCTATGGGTCTTTTTTAGAAAATTATGTTATAAATCGCATCAATCCAAGCGAAATTCAAGAGAGACGACCAAAAAAAACAGACATTCTTCAGATAGATTTTTCAAAGCATAAATTTTTTATGATTTATTAAAAATTTAATATGCGTAAATTCTGAAATGGTTTTCTCTAAGGTGGAGTCGGGACTAAAGCCATTTCATCCCACACATCACTAGTTACTGCATTTTCAATTAGAGGTTCTCTATTTTTTTTTCATCGAAATTAAACACTAGCTTTATAGTTTCGTTTAATTTCTAATAATTATAATCTCATTCATCATTAAATTTATGATAAATTTATTTTTCTGCTATTATGCATAGCTTGGATCTGTGTTATCTTACCAACTTTCGATATTTTTGAACACTTCTTTGTTTCTATCATATATATATATAGATATAAAAAAAATTCTTAATTTTTATTTTATCTAATCCATAATAATATTTTCTAGCAACTCAATTTAGTCAAGCCGAGACACAATCTCATCGTTATACATCAGTAGGTACTTATTTATTAACAATTATAGTTCAAGGTCAACTTAATACTGTGACAAAAAACTTTTCTATTGACGTTCAATATCCTGTCTCAGGATTTATTGTAAATTTTACAAGTATTACCGGTTCTCCAAGTCAACTTATTTACGGTGGAAGTAAGTTTTTATAGAAAAAAACAAAGCTAAACCAAATTAAACTTAATATTTTCATAGTTCCAACAACAATATCAATTAATGTACGAGATTTAAGTATGCCATTAGCATCAAATCCTCTTCTATTTATTGATTATAATGATACAAGTCTATTAGCAACAAATAATGTTATTAGTGTTGCATTACCATATAATGGTTATTATACATTTTTTTCGCCCGGTATGTATTTAGTTAATTTTACTGTTTATAATCGTGTTTCATCAATAACACAAATAATTAAAATTGGTATTAATGCACCATTTGATAATTATGCATTTACTGTTTGTTATTTATTACCAACATTAACAAGTTCATTAAATGATATATGTAATTTAACATTAAACAGTGGATCTTATGATATACCTAAACAAAGTCAATTAGTTATTTATGTAACATGGACAAATCCAAGTAAATAATAATAATAAAAAAATATAAAATTGTATGTTTGTGCTAAAATTATTTTTATTTTAAGGTGGTGTTCCTGAATTATTTGATATTCTCTTTAAAAATACTACTTCTAATATTGTATTTAATGAAACATTTACAATAAGTCAAGTAACAAATGTATCTGAAATTGTTGGAATCACTACAGGTTCACCATTATATCGTTTAGTGATTGATTTTGAAAGTAATCCTCTATTAATAGTAAGTTAAAATTAATCAATTAAATATCAAAAATTATATCGATTTTTTTTTGTTTTTAATTCAAGGACGGTTTATATACTGTTGAAGTAAGAACTCGTAATCCATCATATACAGCAACGTATTCATTAGATATTTTTATTCTTTCAATGATTGCTGGTTTAACAATAAGTGATAAAAACATTCTTGTTCCAATGAATGTTTCAAAACCATTTCTAGCTATATATCAAAATTTTTCATCAATATCTTGTTTATATATTCAATATTCAGATAATATAAATGAATGTTATGGTAATTCATTATCATGTTTATCATTACCATCTGATTTATCATCGACATTACAAACATGTTCATTACCAATTCAACCATTTGTTTATGAAAATTCATCAATTTTATTTATACGAACATTTAATAGTTCTTATGCATGGTTATATGCTTATGCATGGAATCGTAGGACAATAATAAGTTCAAGATATTTTTTTTCATTTCCATTATCAACTGATGGTTGTAATTTACCCTTAGTACAATTTGATATTTATAATCCTGTAATGCGTTGGGCACGTCGTATACAATGTAGTCAAGCATTTTCCATAGCAGTACAAATTATTTTTAATTGTTCAAGATCATTAAATAATACAAAACAATGGAATATATTACAATGTAATACTGATACAGAAAAATGTTATCAAACACAAACATTAACTCAATTAATATCTCAGTTATCTTCAGCAACAACATCAGAAATTTATATTCGATCACAAATGTTACCTATAGGTACATATTTATTTAATTTTACTGTTTCAATGAATTCACAAACAGATGTATTAACATC